GTCTGCTTTATTATCATGATCATTTGTCTGTACAATGTATTCCATTACTAGAGGGCAAAAGTTTTGAGATAATGTTAACAAAAATCGGTAGAATTTTATTATCAGTAAACTATCATTCTCGGACTATGACTGATGATGAAACTGACTTCTATATTCTTTTTCTCAATGACACTATTTACGATGAAGTACATAACAGTCAAAAATCGGTGGCAGAGTTAATTCAAAAACTAAAGTTCCCGAATTTGTCGTTGAGAAAAAGTATTTTCGTTTGATTCATTTCTATAAAGTAATGAACAAGTTATCTCCGCTTTCAGTTTTTGATCACCCTTTATAACACCGTTGAGAGATCGTGGAACAGAGCGTCTGAATACAAATACGGTTTTAAAACATGTAAGGGCAAACGCGAAGCTAGTCACCCATTGAAAATTTTTCTACGAGAGCAGTCTCAAAAAAACGCGAAATTTTATAGAAAAAATGTGATTTTTTCAAAAACGATTAGAAACGCAGAAAAAACATTGCTGTTTTCTTCCGTTTTCTTTGATATTAGAGAAAAAATCCGTTTAAACGCTGCCGAAGAAAAACGCGTTGACCTTCGTTGGATTTTTAGTTGTGTATAGTTTGACAACATTTTTGTTTAACACTGTGAATGTGAACAAGGTACAGACTTGTTCTTCTCGTTTTTTCTCGTCTGGTATGTATCTAGTTGAAAACTATATTTATTTCATGAGAAAAATCATTGAGAAACATAACAATGAAAGTATCCTCTGATAAGAAACTGAAAATTACAGGCGCATTAATGTTTAGAAAACATTACTCGTATTTATTTTTCACAGAAATATAGAGAGATAAAAATGCCAATATACAGATTTTAGGTCACTGTCAGCGCGGACATGTACAAATAATAAACAAAAACACATTACATAGGCAAAGCACATAAACGTAAGACCCTCAGGAGAGGGAGAGAGAAAAACATTTCTTGGCGAAGCTATATTTTGTTCTCTACAAAGTCCTATTTCATATGGAAAATATTTTTTCAAGCGATCTCTAAAAGAAAAAACATCATATTTGTTCACCCTTGGTTAGATAAGTTGAAAATAATTATGCACCTTATGTCTCAACATTATTCATCATCCGCATAATAATCACGTTTAATTGTTGCGCCAGTTGTAGCGGGCAGCCATGCTATAGAATAACCGTCCTTCCTATAAGATCTCATAAAACAAGAATAACAAAAATTCAGTTCGGTTTAAATATGTTTACCGAAAATATTTGATGATCAAACATGAGTTCAATCGACAATAATGAAGAATTATAAAATTATGAAAGTAGCGCACGAAAACACACAAGTCTACAAATATTCCGCTTTTTCGTTCTGTTAAAGTTTTTTTTCCTCGTTTCTGAAAAAACGCGATTAAAGGCGTTTTTATCTCATACAGAAAATAAATGGTAGTAAACGGTATTTTTTAAAAACCCGTTTAAAAGCGTTTCTTTTCTGTTTGCTGCAAAAACGTGATCAAAGATGTTTTTATCTTAGATAGAAAGGAAACGTCTTCGAACGGGTTTTTAGAAAATAATGTTTACTACCATTTATTTTCTGTATGAGATAAAAACGCCTTTAATCGTGTTTTTTCAGAAACGAGGAAAAAAGACTTTAACAAAACGAAAAAGCGGAATATCTGCAAACTTGCGTGATGTCATGCGCAAATTATTTATTATATTTATTATATTTGACTTGAGTCGTTATAGACTTAGGGAAGCCAGGATAGTGATACTTAAAATTAGTGCTGGTTAAGGTCAGCACCACAGGCTACCGAGCCTTCCGATTCACCAGAATAAGGTGGTGAATCAAAATAATACAAGATTCATTTCATTTAGTTAAAATCATTTTAAACGCAGAATTATTTAAGCAGAAAGAACGCCATATCTCATTTTCTAGTTTCGACGTGTTTAAAAAAGAACGTTTTGGAACGCGAAATTAAACAGGGCGTTTCGTCGCGTTTGTGAAAAAAACGAACTAAAACGTCAGTTTTTATTTTTGAATTTCAACGCATTTTTAAAAGAAACTCAGTTTTCCTCGGTTTTTTCACGAAAGCGACAAAACGCCATGTTTAATTTCGCAATCCAAAACGTTCGACGTTTTTAAACGTGTCGAAACTAGAAAATGAGATATGATGTTTCTTTCGTTTTCCCTTGAAACGCGTGGGAAAGCGTTCTCTCATCGTATGGTTTCAGCGCGTTGCGAAAACAACGGAAAGTAAGACGTTTTTCTAGGTTTTCGTTTCAGCACTTCTACGAAAAACCGGATTAAAATGCGTTTTTTTATTTTCTCGTTTTGGTGAGACAAGTCACGTAGAAAATTTTGCAATGGGCGCGACACCGAGTCTTACAAAAACAAGGGTAGCGTCACCTTTTTACTATCAGACTGCCAGCGATTGAAACGCCTTACCGGAAACGGTTGTTGCGGTGCGTACTCTAGGTCAGTTCAAAGCGACGCTGAAAAATCATTTGCAAATTTAAGACGTTTTCTGTGAGTCTGTTTCTTTTTCTGTACTCTATTCTGTCAGAGTGAATATATAGATACAAGCGGGTATTCTATCTCTTGTGGTGTTACTCCAGGTGGCAGTGTGTATAAGTACAAGCTTTTTACTTTTTCTGCTTTTCTACAGCAGCTCCTTTTTTGTAAAGTCAGCTTTGTTTATAAAATAAAATCAAGTTCAAGTTCAAATAGTTATGATGGACTTCTCCTAATTGGTGACTTCAATGCTCATTGTGAAGAACGGTGTAATACACAGTGGGCGGTTTCGACTAAGCACGTGGACAGTTACTGTAAAAGCAGCCCGGAAGCGTATACACTTTTTATAGGTTTTCAGATGCGCTCTTCTCAATTGTGTGCTCTAGAAAACTCAAAACTGCTTTCATCTGGGTTTCTTTTAGAAAACTACGGTCTTTGAAAAATCGAGTATAGGAAAATAATGTTCATAAATTGACGAAGTTAACTTTTTATAGCTTTTCGAACATGGAGATTTCATATACATGCATAAAAACGTTTTACGAACCTTCCTACTCGGTTTTCTGGAAATTCAGATATCTAGAAAACTTGATTATGTTAAAACATCGGATAATAGTCTCGGCGTGCGTTTATAGGTTTGCGAAGGTGCTCTTTTCACTGTTGTGATGCAAAAATTTCTAAAACTCTTAAAGTACCCACCACCATCCCTTGGTTGTTGTGTTGTTATAAGCCAAGTCATTCGAGAGCATAGCAAGATATGAGAGTGAGTGACAAAATAACATCCCGAGTGATGTGGTCTGACACATTCGTATATCTAGGCTTTGTACTTTACATTGTTTTGTCACTTACTCTCACATCTTGGCATGCTCTCGGATGTTCTCATTCAGTTCTGGAAGCCTGTAAGCTTAATTTTAAAGCCTAGTTTATGGAGAATACATACTTTTACTGTAAAGTTTGTCACAATTATAACCATGTACCTAACAAAACTTCTTAATTTAGTCAAGGAAATATGTAAAAAGTGTAACTATATTCTTTATCTAATGCGACGATATAAACATACTTTGAGCACATCTACTCTCGATCAAGTTTTTAAATCTTATACTATACCAATAAGCTATTCGGATACAGTTTATGCTGTTTGATAGAATTGCATACGAAAAACAAATACTATTCAGCATGTATCAATCTATCTCAAACCTAGATATATGACATACAGTACAAAGCTGCTTTTGTTAGCGGCGCTTTGTGTTCTAGAGAAAAAATATTAAAAATTCTTAGACAGACGGTCCAAAAGGAGATGTTTTCGCCAAAAAAGAGAGTATTCATCGGTTTCGTATCTAATGCATTTTTGTATTTTTTTGTTTTTCTTATGTTTCGTTTTTTTTCCGTTGTCTGTTTTCGTAATTCTCACTTATATTACTTCTGCGATTGAACAAGTCAGTTACACTTTTTGCTCAATTTTTCAATATTTGGAGGACGCTAAATCGATAGAAGAACACTAGCTATATGCAACCAGTTTTTTTGTGGTGAACGCCTATTAATGGTGTCTTCGTCTATTATTTTTTATCATTCTTTACCTGCAAAAGACGTAAGTCTATTCATAACTTGAGTTCATTTACCCACATTTTCTTCAGATAAATACGGTTTTAGTTTCGATCACAGCTGAATCACAATATTTTGTTAACGAGGTCGTTGACTGGAGCCACTCAAACGCCACCCTCGGGTTCAAACTGACACACGGCGCTACCGTGTCTGAAGAAATTTTTACTTGGCTAGTAGTGTCCTGAAGAATTTTATCAGCTGAGATCTAGAATTTGTACAAAATCGTTTTAACTAATCTTGTAATCTTCTCATGTTTTTTCTTGCAATTCACGCTATCATACATTGGCGCCATCTATAGTTCTTTAAGTGTTTCATCAGAAAGTGATTTCTGATGAATCTCGGAATTTTAGGAAGCACTTCAGTTTTCCTGAAATAACATTCAACACTACTGCGGGACTTGATGTCCATTGTGGATTACAACGAGTGCTTGCTATAGACCAGTCAGCAACGTTGGTCTTTGTTTCTCAATAACAAAAGAGTAACCGCAACTTCAGATTCGCACGTTGAAAGTACTTTGATGAGAGCTGTTACTAATTTTACACAAAGAGGCGTGATTACACAGGTGTGTGCTACACAAAAAACTATGTATGAGGCTTATTCTGCTGCGAACTGCGCTTTCAGATACCTTTAATATGTTGGTCATAGTTGATTACCGTATTTTTATAGATTTTTTTAAGGATGACAATTCTTTTCAAGCTGGCACTTGTTCTTTTTCAGACTCAATCTTGTGTAAAGCAGAATAACCCTTTGTGATAACAGTTTTTCATTTTCCCAACTTGAATAGCATCGAATTATTCACAGTATTCTTTCAGTTTCAGATGTATTCGGTTTGAATTTAATAAGATATAATCTCGCTAGTCCAAATATACGTCTGCAATAACCAGCAAATATGTCTACACGATCAACAACTCGACGACCGGCGTCTCCTGCCGATAGTTTAAATTTATCTCGTGCACAAGAAAAAGAACAGTTAGAAACACTGAATAATCGGCTGGCTGTTTATATTGACACTGTTCGACGTCTTGAACAAGACAATGAAAAATTAAAAGTATGTATACTATACTATTTGCGATTGTTACGTTACTGGAGTGAAAGCAGGCAATAGGCTCAGTCACGTCTTGCAATTAACCATTATCACATTGTTTGTGATCGTATTATCCATTTTCTTTTGTCTCTCATTTTAGAATGTTATATCTACTTATTCAGAATCCTACGAGAGTGAAACATCAAAAGTAAAAACATTGTATGAACGTGAATTAGAAGATGCAAAAAAATTGATTGAAGAATTAGCGCGTGAAAAGTCACGTCTGGAAATTGAAGTTGAAAAGGCTGGTGCTGAAGCGCAAGACGCTTTAGCAAAGTAAGTTACTAGTTGAAAACTTAGTTGAATTGCTATTGGCATCAATATTACTTATCTGCTTTAGACTCGGTCGAAAAGAACGTGAAGCACGTGCTAATGAAACACGTTTAAAGCAATATGAAAATGAGATTGGTGACTTAAAAGCGCGAAACGATTCTATTATACTTGACGCAAATAGAAAAACAGATGACAATGTTGTATGTATTGAGAATTAGAGATAACTAGAAAACACTTGGTCTATATTTAACTTTATGTTTTTAGGCACTTCGTGGTCTCAATAGCGACCTTGAAAAGCAGGTCGCTTCACTAAAACGACAGTTGGAATCAGAAACATTATTACGTGTTGATTTGGAAAACAAAAATAAAACACTGAGAGAAGAATTGCAGTTTGTCGAACAAGTTCATAATACGGTAAGTGGCTGTACTCTTTTACCGCAAACATTTCTGAACAATGCCCTATAAATTTACGTTTTTGATGAAATATCCTCCTAAACGTATTCCATATCGTCTTTTTTCTTTATATCACAACAATTATCAAACTGAGGCGACAAAATCTTCTCTTCTTGTCCTAACTACTTTATTTCGAACAACGTTTTAAATAAGTGATTACTTCTAGCAAATAGAGCAAATCAAACAACAAAAAAACATTCATGTTCAACATTTCGGTGCTGGTATACGTCGAGAATATGATGATCGTTTGTTGAATGAATTACAACAATTACGCATGCAGACCGATCACGAAATGCAATCTGTTCGAGATGAAATCGCAGGTCAATACGAAAAGAAGGTAAATATATCTTTTTCGTTAATCTTAGTGAATTACGGTAATGTGTTGTATTCTCTAGATTGAAGATCTTCAAAATACCATTCGTCGAAATGAGGAAAAAGTTGGTTCATACCGTTCTGATATGACAACATATCGTGATCGTATTGAAGAAATCACAAAAACACGCGATGGTTTAAATGATAAAGTTATGTTTCTGGAACAGCGTTGTCGCGAATTGGAAGATCGTTTACATCGTGCACAACAGAAACAAGATGATTTTCTATCAGAGCGAGAAGATGAAATACAACGGTTAAAACAACACATTGAACAAATGCAAATCGAATATCAAAATTTATTAGATATTAAAATTGGTTTAGATAGAGAAATAGCGACTTATAGAAAATTATTAGAATCAGAAGAAGAACGGTAACGTTTGTTTGTAAATCCTGGAAAACTTTTCACTTTCATTGCTTACTATTATGAAAGCATGATTTAAATTTTTGACATTTTTGACTCTCATGATGCTCGTTCTGATACGCTCTAATTATTTAGATTGAATATATCTGGTAATTCATCTCGTATTGATCAGAGTAGTATGGTTACAGATCATGCAACGACAAGTGGTTCAACCACAACATTTGATACAAGCAGTTATCTGACACATCGTCAAAAACGTCCCCGTTATGAAGATGATTTAACGTTGCCAGAGGATTTATTGACGCGTACAAGTAATGCTAGTGTTGGTCACCAACAATTATTGGATGGCATTAATATTATCGACGATGATAGTACCCATCCAAAATATGTTAAACTTGTCAATAATACAAATCAAGTATTTTCATCATCGATCTCTTGTTATATTTATATTCTTTTTATTTTTTTGTGGTTAGGATCTTCAACTAAATGGTTGGGTTTTGAAACGTAAGGTTGGTAATCAAACATATGAGCATAAGTTTCAACGTGGTATGTTACTTAAATCTGGTTCAACATCAACAGTAAGTGTAAGAAGGATTAAGCACCTTTCATCCATATTACAAATCGTCTCTTTTAGATCTGGAGTAATGATGCGAATGAAATAACACATGAACCACCTGGAAATATCAAACTTCGAACAAATAAATGGTTTACAGGAAGTTCTGAAACTAAAAAAACTATACTTGAAGATTCAGAAGGTCGTGTAAGTATATCAGTTCTTTCATTTCATTTTATTCTAGTGATTAGTTATCATTGTCTTGTTACTCATTTAGATCGTTGCCGAAAAGACGACGACTGTAAAGTAGATAAGAGTATTTAGAAAATGCTGTATTTAAAGTATTTCATCCTTAATGATTTTTTCATATTGGATATTATTGTTGTTTTTTTCTGTGTCATATCTATTGTAACTTTGCTTTTGTTTCTTTATTTCATTTCTTTTGCTTTTTTTTCTTCTATACATATATAAATTGTGTAATCTTGACTTCGTATACATGTGTATGTATATTAGCGTGTGCGGGTCCTCGCTAATACAACTTAGGACTTTCCCATATCGAATATCTTTTTTTATGTGTATATTATAAAAAACAAGAAGAAGAGATTTAAACTGTACTCACTGTATAGATAGAATCAATGAATAAAAATGAAAAATGCACTCGACAGTTCTAGATATAGACGTTGGCAGAAATGGACTGAGAAAACGATGATGTCATATCATATATTCGAAAGAAATAGAGAATAGAAAATGGCAAGATAGTGTATTAGTGCGTTAGGAGGGGAGAAATGTCGTCCCTAATATCCCTTCCTGCCTATGAATATCGGTGTGCACAAATTAAAATTTGAAATAATTTGAAAAATTAAATGCAGAATAATGCATAAAAGAATTCGAGGAACTGTCAGATTTGATATCACTTATTTTCAAAATCCAATTTCACTTCGAGATACCCTGTTTTTCATGTGTTATTGCCAGATCTTGATGTTGTTTGCTTGCAACGTCCACCAGAGATAGTTTCACCTCAATCATAATAAATGTGGATGCACCTCAAACAGGCTCATTGTATTGATTGTTGATTTGTTCACCGGTCCAATGATCACTTCACACAATGATGTTTGTGCCAAAATGGTTTGTTAAAGCACGTTGATATGAATGTTTATTCTGAATGTTACGACAATGCATCTAAATTCTAGGCTCGTAATGTCTCTAAACAATATTAAACCTTGAACATGAAATAGAAAGTGCTTAGATTTCATAACATGTATCCGTTGTACACAAGATGGTCCATTATCAAAAAATTTGGCTCAGTTTTTTTATCATCATAATGAATCCGTGTAATTTAATATATGTAATAGTAGCCCATCGAGCTAGTAAACAGAGAAATCGGATCTTCCCGACACATTGCTAAGTCATGTCATATGTTTATACACGACGTCATCAAAATGTCGATGATTTTTTCCGTCAATTTCACTACTGATCGTTCGTCCTTCAGGGACAATTCTATCGAATAGATGATTTGCGTTCGACGAGCGGAATTATCGAATCCATTGTGACTCGACGTTGTAAATTCTCTTGTTTCACGTGCTGAACAACAATGAATGTTTTCGGCCCGATTTGTCGCATAATTCTGAACGCACCTTCATTCCGAATTGAGAACTTATTTCACGTACCTGAAGTTTAAATTAGAACTAAGGTACTAATAGAATAAGTTCAATTGATTCGATTTGTGTGGTAATGTTGTATGTGAATACGTTGAGCTGAATTTGTCTTTTAGCATCGTCAGTCAATAGTGACAAATATTATTCAGATGATCGAGACCCAAGTGTTTCCATCAAATGGCGGAGAAGTAATTGATTGTCAAACGGTAATACGGGTTTTCTTCTGTACATCAATTCAAATGTTTGTGTAGTAGTATGAACACTCGCACTATAAATCAACGTAGCTAAGGGTAACTGTTCGTGCCAGTTTTTTCTTTGATCGTTCGCTAGTACCATTATTTTTGCGTCCATTGTTGCATTGTAGCTGTTAAGCTGTCTGTTTGTTTGAGAATAGTATGGTGTTGAATAAAAATGAGTAGCTTCGATACTTCGAAGAACTTGTTTAAAAACCGTAGCGGTAAAATGACAACTGTTATTGGTGAGAATACATTTCAACGTGCCATATTTCAAAATTACTTCTTCGCCAAATAAATATGTTGCCGTTCTGGCTGAGTTATCTCGAACGGCATTTGTCATCACGAATTTTGAAAGCACATCCGTCAATGATTTTCAACAGTAATACGAGGGTACAGGACCGTGTCCATCCATATCAATTGCATTAGTATGGATGACAGACGATGATATGGTATCAAATATTTTTTCGCATTTCTACAATATCCGTTCCACTTGTTTTTGTTTATCATTGTCAAGATGATGAGTCAAACGTTCAGTGTCAGTGTGAACATGGATTAGCTTTTAGTTTTTTTTAATTAGCTTTTGTAATACTTTCATCTCTTCCGTCTAGGAAGGATCATATTAGTTTTCTTTACGTAGCTTATTATACGCATCTTTTCTCTAAATTTTTCATACGTGTGTGTATTAAATTGTATTGTGTATTCGATTTTAACTTCATGTATCTTCAAAAGTATTTTTTACAACTTATATTCAAATGAATTTATGTTCGAGTTTATAGAAATTTGTAGCCAAGAATCTGGGATTTATGAATATCTAATTACAACTCTATTTGAACAAAATTTTATACAAAAAACTTTCACAATACTTCGCTGATATACACTTTTCGATTTTTATGTCCACCTACACTAACATGACCAGAACTCTATCGAGACTTGACAAAATCTCTCGTTTTTTTTTGGTCAGCTTATTAATACCCAGTCGATTCGTCTTTGGATGGAATATCGAACTGGTAACTTAGCTTTGTAAGTACATGCGTTGATTCAGGTCTCATAGATCGAGTTCAAAAGTCTTTCTGAATTTTTATCATTTAAATTTAGTCAAAGTCATGCTATTCGATTCAGCTTGCCAAGCTCAATCGATTGATATATGACGCAATATTGTGCCGTTCTTTTTATAGTTATTTTGGACTACTTAAACTTTAACTGCGATTATTTATCGTAAAACTCTTCCTCGTTGAAAATCTTTTTTTGCGTCAACTATATAGGTAAGTGTCGGGAAAATAATGTTTTTATAGGCGATCGACATAGAACTATCGAATGTATCATCCAAATTTTGTCCCTATGCAAGTTTATTTTTTCAAAGTCTTTTTGGAACGATACAATGGCAAATCACTCATATATACAAAATATATTAATTTTGTTTGTCTTAAACTAAAAATTTGCATATTTTTTCTTTATTTCCTTTACATCTCATTATATCAATCCATAGATGATTAATTTATTGAACGTGTGTATGGCTTAGCTAGACACGTTAGCTGATGGTATAATTGTTGTCTGATCAGCTGACATCTCCAGATGCAATGTTGATATTGTCCACCAGTTGAAGGACCTATGACAAGTAAAAACTAAATAAAAGTAGGAAACGTCATATCCTATCTATACTATGCAACTAGACTATATAGTATTGGTTCCATTGATTTTGCTCATTTTGTGATCGCACGTACAGTTTACAAAAAAAAACCATTTTTTGTGAATATGTCAATTAATAGCGTATTTTTTACAACTTTTGTTTGATATGTAAATGTTTAGAATTGTTGTTTAATTTTATGTACAGAATGTCTAAAAACAAAACAACCGTAAAAAATATTTTGCATCTATTAAACTTCATTGTACAAACTGAAAATTCAGTGTAGACTACAAATCTTCGCGAAAAAAACGTGATACATATACGCACTGCTAGGGATAGTTGTGGTTTTTGTTTGATTAAACCTTGCTGTACGTCGTACAAAAGCATTATTATTATTATTACGACAATTATTAGATTTAGTGTTATTTTGTGAGAATTTTAAAGCAGTTATCGTGACGAATAAATTAATATATATAATTTGTCGATAAAAAGTTGAAATAAGGCTTAAGCAAAAGTAATAGACAATGGTGACAATGGTCGCTCTCATTTGTTCCACTATACACGGTAGCTTCGTCGGTCCTTTTACTTTTATACATTCTATACACATAAATTAAGCAAAATAAATCTAAACATTTACACATCAAGAAAAAAAGTATGAAAGAGACCGGAGTGCGAATTCTTTAATTTTTTTTATGTTTACAAAACGGCACTGAATAGAGAACAATTTTGAAAAGATATTTTTTCACAGTATGTGCACAATTCTAAAGTAGAATTTTTCCTATGTACGCTTCTTCATATTTACACATCAATACGTAAATAGTAAAGCAATCATAAACAAAAATGATGCGCAGACAGTGGCTACCATTGCGACTTTACAGTACGAAAGCTGAACTTAATGAGTTTATATCCGAAAATATAGTATCTAGATTTCGCAGTGAATCAAGTATCAATGGCCAGGACCACAAATAACGGGAGGTTGCGCACTTCCCCAAATAATTGAAAGAGCTATTGTTATTTGATTCATTATTCCTCGCACAAAAAGTTTTTGATCAGTTGCACACCACCTCAAGCGGGCTTGTTTTATACCCCTAATGTTCAGCTCCTATTTGTGGCCCTGCCAATGGTAACAAATATACACATCGGTGTGCTTCATACAAGAAATTTTCGTCATATGGCCGTTCTCTTTACAATCGTCAACTGAGAATTCTGAATCGTTTTCTTTTTATCCCTAATTTCGTTCTCTGAAAAATTCTTGTCCACATATCAAACGAAAGTTATGAGAATAGATAATTAATTGACATATTCACAAAACGTTCCCCTTTTTTTTTAAACTGTACGTGAGACCGCAAAACGAGCAGACTAACGGAAACAAACTGTAATACCTCTCCGATTAAAGGACCCGTGCGCATCAGACTTGTAATTGATCCGCCACATTTTATTCCTTCAATGTGTTTCATACTCATAAAAATCATCTTATTCGATGACTTCGACCGTTTTGTGAACCCTTCTGATTGGACACATCTGAAGAAATCTTACCCGAAAAGAAATACTTCCATCACACCTTCAGTACGACACAAAATTTTCTAAAACGAACGTTTCTCCCTAGCTATTTAGGCTAGAGTAAAAAATCACTCGATGCGCCTAAAAAAGCCCTACAGTGTGTGTAAATAGGAAGCTTAACACAGCCTGGCAGCGGGCTTTGTGAATTAATACTTCTATATTGTTTCTGCTTTAACAACTTCTACGAAAGCTACGTAAGGTAAGTGTTTCAAATGTCTGTGAAGATTTTGTTTATTCTTCTTTGACCTT